TGTGTTCCACAAAACCAATTTCTCTGCCTCCTCGTGCCCTCTCATTCCCAGGCCTGGCAGTATATTTATGGCTTGTTCTTTATTCTGGGATAAGGGCAAAGCTCCCATCCCAGGAGGAAAGCTCAGGTACAGCTCTCATATGGCAATCCATCTCAGAAGGCCACAGACTTCATCCTCTCTCGGCAGGGCTGGATTGACACACCCACACCACCCATGGTGGCCTTTCCCTTCACCATTAACTTTCCTGGTGTATTGTTCTCTCCTTCTGCCCATCTCTTCAGGGTCAGTAGACAGCAGAGGTAGGGGCAGAAGTGTTGAAGAGCCAGTGGCTGCTTTGTTAACATTAAGCTGAGTTCCAAATCTGCTGCAGCTCTGCCCAGATATCTTGGGGAAGATTTGTGCCCACAGTCGGCTTCCTCCAGACACAAAAGGATGCATTCCTGCTCTGAAAAGCTTGCAGGCCAAGGAATTGTCATATTGCATTGCATACAAACAAAACGCCCTGAGGACAATGTTTGTCCTGTCTTGGTTTCTGGGTGAGTTATGCAAATGGATAAAAAGTAACCTCACTTGCTTCCTGCACTCCAGCTAACTCCCTGTGACAGCGCTTCTAGAAAAAAGAAATGGACAAATACTGGTGATGTTACCTGTCAGACTGAGAGTGGGGAAGGAGTTGCTGAGGCAGGTACCCCGTGTTTGTGTTTCTCAGTCCAGCAGAAGCCAGGAGATGCTTTTCTGCCTGGTCCCTGGGGAATGGGTTGGATTTAAGCTGACTTAATATTGACACTTTGCAGGGATGCTTTTGTAAGCAAACATACCACAGGCTTCAAAAATAAATTGGGCAGGTTTTTCTAAACCTGCTAAAAATACAAAACCTGACAAGCGGCTCTGCATCATCTTAGGAGGGGACAGCCTGCTTGGAATGACCCTGGCTTAGCCTCTATGTGCACATACATGTCACACTGCCTGCTGCTGAGTTCCTTTCCAGTGGCGCAGGGACAATCAGGAATCCTCCAGCTTTGCTGTTTAAACACTGCTGTAAAGCTCAGACTGTTTTTGTTTAAATATTTGCTGGTTTTTGCATAAGCTAAAAGACGATTTCCAGAGATAGTGATAATTTGTGAGTTATTTAATGGTTAAGAATATACAAATCTCAAGATGTTTGTATTTTAAATGTCTCCAGAGACCTTCAAATACATCAAATAACACAGAAGCAGCCTGGGATGAAGTGGTTTCTTTAACGCCATGTGCCATGTGGTGATTCTGCTTTCTGCCTGGTGGGAAGCAGATAACTCAGGCTGTGAGACTGAGCAGCCTCTCCTAGTGCTGAACCTGGGGATGTCTTCAAAGTGTTGTCCTTCAGAGAGATGACATTTCAAGTGTAGCAATAATTTTAACTTCTTGCACTGTTCCTCATCGCACCAGGAAGCCCTTCTATTGCTTGCAAGATTCATTCCAGCTGCTGTAGTTACATTGCCTGGCCTTCCTCACACCCCAGGCTGTGCAGACACTGTGTACCAGACATGGTGGTGTTACTTCAGCTTATGACTTCGAAGGAGAACCGGTCCTGTAAGCTTCCCAAGGACAGGTAGCTGCTCTATAGCACCCTTTGGCACCGTGTCCTGCCTTAGGAGAGTGTCCTTTGCCACTGGCCAGTGGAGACCATCCCACTCCATGTGGGATGCTGTTTTGCTCTGTGAGGGGTTTCCAGTCTTCTGCCATGCATGCTTCTTATCTGCAGTTGCTAAAACTCCAGAGCTTTTTCCACCTGTCTTGTGTGAAAGAACCTATTCCTAGTTGTTTCCATAGCCCTAGAGATGCAGGCTGTCATTTGTAGTGTGAGATGATGATATTCCAGGGCGTGGTAGGGGCTCTGATGTTTTCAGGAGTAGCAAATGTTTGGGGCATTGGTTTTGAGACTCAGGAGGAAACACCTTCCATCTTGAAAAATTTCTTATGGAACACTTGATGAGTACCCTGTGGAAAAAGCTGCAGCTCTTGAATTGCTGCAACCCAGCGCCATTTGTCCCGCCTACTTTTTCTCTTTGAAGTAATAAGCTACAGGAAATTCTGTGGAGTCTACTCTCAGCAGCAAAGACTTGCTCTGACAGCCTTTCCATGGAGATGTTTGTGGTGTTCCCAGACTTCAGAAGTAGCCTATTTCACTTCCACCTTTCAAAGATCCACTTGGTCCAAGTGTTGTTATTTACATGATGGACCTGGCATTCCAGCCCCATGCTGAGTTGTGTGTGTCCTGGTCAAATTCCAGGTTGGCCAGTGCTGTGCACATGTTCTTTCAGTATACCCTGGCTATCACCTTCTTCCTCTGTTACCACGGGGTGTCTTGACCAAAGTACATGTCATAAAGGTGAAGAATCCTGCTTCACCTTTCAGCTAATGCCTTCAGCTCCCACCCCCAGTGCCACCTGTAATGTTTCCCCATGTCCTTTCGCAGCTTTTTTCAGAGCAAATCCCCTGTCCCTGGCCACATCGTTCCTCTGCCTCTTGCCTGTGCTGGCGTAGCTCTAATCCTTGGCACTGAAATCAAGGGGGACTCGGACTTTCCTTCAACCGAAAGGTGTAGGAGAATTGTCCCTTCCACATGTACCTCACAGTCCTGTCCTCCATGCTAAACCTCAATTTAGCCTCTTCTTGCCACTTGCCTACTTCTGCTGGAATTTGCTTTATCTGACCTCTGTGGTTCTGATGTGCTGTCCAGCTCAGTCTGAGCACACAGTTTGTCCTTCACAGAAAGCTCACTTGCAATGGCCCTAAAAGAGCCAGGCTGTCTTCACACCCAGAGCAGTCATGGCAGCATCCTGGTAGTGCTAGAACATAGGACATAACCCTTTACTTCTTCCTTCGATTCTCTGGATGCTTGTAGGCAAAAGAGACAGGAGAAGATGATTTCCTTTTGCTCAAATTAAAGGATAATTTTGTATTTATTTCCCTACTGGGCAGATTCTGAGTAACATTTTGTCATATATGCTGTTTTAGAAAGCCAGTGAAATGCAGCTATTTGTTTAGCAGCAGGAAAATCAAACAAACAAGAACTGTGGGAGATTCCTGGAAGGGCAGCAACAAGGGCAGGTCAGAAACTTCACTGCAGGATAATCATGAGCAGCAGAAGGGAAGTAAATGCTTCTTGTTCTTGGGTGCTTTTCCATCTGCCTCAGCTGTGTGAAATGGCTCTTTCATGTTACTGCTCTGTATATACAAACATGGTGATTTCTGTGGAAACTCATATGTTTTCCTTGTTCCCTCTGTGTACTGTTGAACCCCCCACACCACAAAAAAAAAAAAAAAAAAAAAAAAGGAAAGAAAAATTTCAAAAATGGACTTTGGTCATACTGATTTGCATACAGCAGCAACTGCTGAAGGTCCCATGAGGCTGCTCTTAAAACCATTTCAGAAGCTATTAATGCTGTAAAGTAGGGAGAACTGAAACATGAACATGCAGACCCCCCCCCACCCCCCTTAGGTTGCAAAAGCTGAATGGTAATATGGAAAAAGTAGAAGCAAATTTGCCAGCTGTTCCCACTGCACTGATTATGATGAATGGGAGACAACATTGGCTGCATGCCTTCCCATTACACCACACTCAGGCACTCTCAGATCGTGTCCTCACACTTTGCAATGTGCAGCTACTCCACAGGGAAGAAGGGTGGTGGGTTCTCACCTGTGCCTCCCATGATGGCAGTACTTTGCTGTGTATCCACCTGTGCATATGTTCTGGTCTTGTGACCCACTGAGAACCAAGTGTGTTTTCCTCTCTTCCACTCTGCACCACATCTGCCTCATCCATGCATACAGACAGCACTTGGGGTTTCTGAATACAGGGCAAAAGAAAGGAAAAAACCCCAGAGATGATATCTAAACTGCTCCTTTACAGTCATTTCACCTGGCTGTTTTTTCACCTTTAAGCTGCAGAAGTGCTGTAAGTGCTACACTGGTTCTTGATGACAACTCCCAAAGCACCCAGGGGAGCAGCAGGAACAAAAAGTTCTCTAACATATGGCTCCAATCACAGGGTGCCACCCAAAAAGGACTGCTATATCTCTCCTGTGTACTAGGCCTTCTGGGAGAAGGTGCTCTTCACAGCCCAGTGGCTGGACATTTTCATGGGGCATTGGGAGATAGCTGCAGGTACCGCCATGAAGATGAAAGTAGCCCCTGCACTCTCACAGGGAGGTGCCTCTAACCACCAAGAAGATAAGAGAAATGCAGCTTTTCCAAAGGATTTATTTTCTCAGCCTACTCTGGCTTTGGCAGTGCAGACTTCCCAGAGTTTCTGGATCGGGCTGTAGCCCCAAACATGATCAGATGATGTGTTCATTCCTCAATATGACTCCCAAAGATGAGATGAGAAACAATGTACAAGATCCTTCTTGTCAAACTTGCAGTGTTTCTTGCTAAAATGTTTACCTCCATGCCCCTAAATGGACCACTGCTAAACCCAGGTGTCAGAGCTGTCCTCTGGCTCAGCAGAGTGTTGTGACATGGATGTATTGAGCAGCCTCACCACCAACATCCCTCTGGGCCACAGCACCCAATGAGACCAGTCTGCACTCTGTTTCTTTGCTCAAGCCACAAGAGATTGTCATAAAGGGGCTTGTTCCTCTGTCCCCTGTCCCAGCCTGTCTCTCAAGACAGTCTAAGGAGGCCTTGTCTCTCGTATTCCTTTCCTTTCAGCACATATGGCAGCATGCTGCTGCTCTGTGCGTGCATGTGTGTGCAGGTAAGCATGGAGGGAAAATAAAAATTAGGCCAGAAGCTGACACGCAAAGCTTAGTGCTTGCCCATGGAAAATTAGTAGCAGGGTCCGATCCACGCAGGTCCATTACTGGGCAGTCCCAATGCCGAAGGTACCTATTTACAGAGCAGCTGCAGGAGTTTTCTGTGCATCAGGGCAGTCACATTTACCCAGTGCCTCACCAGTGACTGGCAATGAACATGCTGAGCACTGCTGGCAAAGAAAGATCAACCACACTGCAACAGAACAGGCTTGATACATTTTATTGGCAATACTGGTGTCATACTGGGGAACCACAACCCTTTGTCAGACTATTAGTGTTAACTTGCATGACAAGTATCAGTGACCAACTGTATCTGAAATATAGTTAAAGTGCCTAGAAATAATAGGCATCTTAAAAAAAAAGGAAAGGGAGCTCATTCCATCCACTCAAGCCAACCTTTATAGATCTTACATCTTAAGCACAACTGATGTACTGTAATTGTCACGTGGACTTTAATGTAACCTCTACAGCAGCACACAGACAATGCAGTTCTCTCATTATGCACATGCTTTAGGATCATTTATTTTAATGCTTTCAAATAAATATGTTCCATGCAGCACACCGCAATAAATAAGGAGCAGCAACTTTCGTATAGTACATCCATTCATAATGTAAGTCACCATGTGATACACCACATCTAAAGTCTTTGGCCCAGTCCCATACAGTGAAGCACACCACATCTGCACATAATCATATCTGGCTTCATATGGATTTAATAGGACTATGCCAGAAGGGCAATGTGAGCACAAGTTTAACCAGGGGTTCCTAGCTATTAAATACAGCTCCTAAGTAGTTAAAAGGCAACAACTAAACCCATAAAGGGTTGATTTGTCTTTTCTTTCTTACTTTTCAGACAGAAATATAAAGTATGAAAATGCTCTGGATATTTTCAGCCTTGTGTAAAGCAGTGTGATTAATATGGAATGCTTTGAGCAATACTGGCATGTACACTGGCATCAAACGCCACAGCAAGACTGACTCTGACACTGAACACTGGCAAACTCAGTGGGGGAAGCTGCTGTTCTGGCGGGCGCTGCTCCTCTCCCTCTATGCCGAGAGCTCCACCGCCCCCTCTTCTTCGCTGTCAGCTCGGTTGGCGCGGATCTCCACCAAGGTCCGGGCAAAGCGCGTCCACTCGTCGTTGTGTGGAACAGCCAGCTGCAGGACAAACCAGCAGAGAATTAATTAAGTCATTGGCAGTGCAGGACTGGTTCTCGCCCTGGCCCAAAACTGAGGCAGCTCCTTGGAGGAGAGCTCCTACCGCAATCAGCACGGCTGTGCACAGGGAAGCACCAAGGCAGGTGCCTCACCAACCCGCTGCGAGCTGGTACCTGAGAAGCATGGCCAAGTTCACATGGCACATCTGGCAGTTTCCTATTCAAGTACCAGCCAGAACGAGCCCCTAGTCAATGGCAGAGCGAAAGGCTTTATCTGCTTGATTTTGTAGTGTTGCTGCAAAATCTACTCCTTGGTTAAAATATTTCAGATTTTCCCAACTAGAGCAAGGCCTTGATCTCTACATGTACACACACGTATGTTCCACTTTACACACACAAGTGGGCCATTGGCAGTCAGCAACCCTGTGCCCAAGTGTAATTGTTTGCAGGACCAGGTCAGTGTGCACAAGGTAAGAGAGCTTTTAAAACACTCTGTTGAAACTATTTTCCTGAAGTTCATTAAAGCTCCAAGTAGTAAAATAAATATATTGTGTTATTTTAGTTACCCTTCTCTGTGTTCAGGAATTCACAGTTACAGGAAATGCATTACAATGGCCAACTGGATACTGCATTACTAGTCTGATTTTTTTATATCATCTTGCAAGATCCATTTCCATTTAATACCATTGATGTTTCTAATGAAGAGCTCTTGAACATTAGGCTTCAAGAAGGACGTGTAATCTAAATAGCTGAACTTCCAGACAAAATGCTTTAGTGCTATGGCAAAACAATACTGCAGTCATTTCCAGCTGGATCCAATACTGCAATTTCTGGAAGATAATGCAAGCTAGGATTGAGATAATTAAAAAAAAAAAAAAAAAAAAAAAAACAAAAAAAAACAAAACGAAACACCAAAACAAAACAAGCACTTTTCTCAACTTTGTTTTCATTAAGCCAAATTCCAGAAAACGGCAACAAGCATCCACATGATCCATGCAAGTTTTCACTGCCCTCCTGATGCGCTGTGATCACATCCTGCATATAATATGAAAGAATAACTGTTTCAAGACATTACACACTGCTTGGTACTGAAGAAGGCAACTGTTTTGGAAACTACAGGGAACTATAATGAACTGCTGTCCACCTTAGCAAATGGATGCTTTTGGACTGAAGAATGGGTATAACCATAGCTAATCCAGTCTGTACTACCCAGTACTCAATCTGAATTGGCTTCAATATTTTAATACACCAGAAGAAGTGTCAAGCAGATGGTCAGCTAACTGTGTCCATGTGGCACTAGCAGATCATAGGTGCCCATGAGGTATATGGTACATTGTACTGAAAAACAGTCAAATTATTCTCTTCTGGTTACATCTTGACTGGATACACAGAAGTGGAGACTAAGAAAAGCACATGACCCAGCTGGGGAAAGAGCTTGTGTGTATGGCCAAGATTACCTGCGTGTGGAAGCTCCACATCCGCTGGTGCAAATGTTAGTCGTATGGACAAAAATTTGCAATACAAGATCTAAATATCTCCGTATCTCACTGGTGATTAGCAAGTTTTTTTTCAATTATTTTTTCTCTAGCTTTGGCTCTACATCCAGTCTATTGCAGAAAACACAGTGTGTTTTTTTAACGCTTCCCATGTATTATACATGTATATCAGTGACTGAGTTACATTATGAAGGGCTGGTGTGCAAGTTTGGGGTTTTGCCTGTTGAAACACCAAATACAGTACAGTTAACATTAGGTCAGGCTATGGACTGAGAAATGCAGCCTGTGAAAAAGCCATGTCAGCCCAGTTAATATAGGCATCGTTGCAGTCTCTGGGTTTTCCATTCTTTGTCTTCCACTTCTGGCATTTTTCTTCTCTACTTCTCCCAGGAATGGAGACCAGAGTTACAAGAGTAAATAATTTCAGACAGCTGTCTCTCACGCTCACATACACAGATGTGGATCTGGGATGGCCTATATTTGAGAGACCACTCTGTCCTTTTAAAATTCTTCAGCAGAAGGAACTGTAGCACCAGAAGAGAGGTCAGTGCACCATCTCACAAGTACCTGTAGCACAGGTTTGGCCACAGCCACACACCTAGACTGGCTTCTGTGTAGTAGTAAGGGGCAGTGCAGAGATCCTGCTATCAGAGATGGAACCAAAACCAGCTGTGCAACTATCTCCCTGTCATTACTATATCTCCTAAAAGATTTCATTTCTTCTGATGTGCACAGCACTACCATTTGTCAAACTCTTGAATGAAATGAGTCTCACTGATTTCAAGTAGAAAAATCTTTGAAGTGGAGCAATACCCTAGGCAAAGAACTTTCTGAATTTAATAAAGCATCACTGCTTCTTGTCTTCTAAAGTCTTTAACAGCATTACATTGTATTAAGTGGCTGAAAAAGAAAATATGTCATTCTAAAGAAAAAATCGAAATATATTTATGACATTAAGATAATTTAATTGCCGATACTCCCCAGCATGGCCACAGACAAATAAAATCAAAGTCCAGGCTATTAAAACAACTTCGTATCTCAAACTTGAAGTGTCTCCCCAGGAATGTATGCGTTACTTGCATTATTTTTAGCTGACAGTGTTAGCAAGGTCTGGGCCATTTCTACTGACTCTGTTCATAAAGCAATTAATGACCGAAGTCAATACCTTTAGCACAGAGAAAAAGATATTCAATGCCCACATGCAACCTAATGCCTTACAACTTCATCTTATTTTACCTTATTTAATCTCATGCACTGCATCATGCTTTCAACAAGGGGCCAATGCTGCTAACAGATTGCTGGTAGAATAAACCTCTCTAATATAAATTCCTCAGGGATGCAGAGGGAAACCTTGGCAATTATAAAGTCAAAGGAAAAACTGTCTTTTATCCTCCAAACCCCTTCTTTCTGCAAAGGCCCCAATACTAAACCACAATAGTTATACAGGAAAGACCACAAATAAAAGTATCCACAAACTCCAATTCAAATTCTTCTCTGGATTAATGCTCCCCTTCCAGTCATTTTCCATTCAAGCTCCTTCATCTGGACGCACTGACACCCACAAGTGCTGGAGACCTGAGTCTATCTGTGGGATCTCCCTCTCAGCTTTTCTGCATGTTTTTCCTGCAAATAGCAGGGCAGAGGTAGAAGAAATGAGGAGATACTCCACGGAGGAAGGGCGGAGGTTTAGAGCTATCTGGGTGTTCCCCACTCATGTGACAATTTTTCTGTCCACTTCCAGTTACTACAAAGCAGCATCTGTTAACTTTCATATCATGATGTTGGTGCAGGGTAGAAATGTTCACCAAAGCATAATAATATAATAACTTATTTGGGTCAGGTTATTTGAATGAACTGATGCTAAGGCATGGAGCAGAACAAGAACATAAAAGCTAAGTGTTTTCCTCTGATCCCTTTACAGTGAAAGGCAAATGCTACCCACACCTAATTAATTGATTTACTCACACTGCTGCAGCTTTAACATCATGGTATGTTTTGGTTGCATCAGACTAATTCTAGTGAGGAAAACCAGTATTATCTACGAAAAATGGCTGCCAGGATCTTCCTGACAAGCACCCGTCCTTGCCTTGCTGAAGTGTCACCATTCTACACGATTTATCCACTACACAACCGAACTGTGTCTCACAGAGCTCTTGAACCTTCTGAAGCTTCTGTTTCTTGGGAGATCACTCTAGCCAAGCACGTCACTTACCTGTCAGCTTTCCTGCCCCGCTCCCTGCTAGGACTGACCAAGAAGATGGTTTATGTGCATCTGGTAGGCATGTGACAGAGTGCCCCGTCCCTGAGGCTCACCAGGGAGCACCAGGTATGTGAACTTCAGCAAAACCAGCTTCCTCCATCATCCCATGGAGCCAGAGACATCCTCTGTGTGCAGATCTTCCAATCCATACAGCAGAGATTTGACAAACACAAGCTGTATTTCTGTGTTTTCCTAGAAACTGTGCAATTAGCAACTTCACTGAACACTACTGCTCTGAAAACTGTGACAGAACTCAGGAAAAGGAGATGCTCTGACCAGACAACTCTTGATCCTGTGTTCTGAGTCAATCAGTGCTGGGCTCCCCCAGCAAGCAGGAAAGGAACAAAAAACCAGTGCCTGAAGATACAAATCAACATCAATTTCATTTTCAGATAAATTAACACATTCTAGTACATCTGCTCTTTAAAGTCAGGGAAAAGGAAAGAAAAGTAAAAGGCAAAGGAGAGAAGCAGAGCAGAGAAGAAGAGGAGAGATTTCGAGACAAAACTCCCAAATCTTTCAATGCGCCTTTTAAAGGAATCTATCCAGACAGTTGAAACAAGATATTACAACATATTTCAAGACTTTTCTGTATTTCCCTCCTATCTATCTTTTTTATGGCTGAGAGTGTTTCAGCTGAATTTGTCCAAATCCCTGTATAGCTTCAGTTTCCCTAAAAAAACACTTCCCAGGCAATGAATTATTCATTGAGGATATTTCATTTTATTTCTGACTCCTTGCCTTCCCTGAAGCCTCTAAATCTTTGGGATGGGAGTGGGAATACTCTTCCTGCCTTCATCCGTCTAAGCTCTTGTCCATCACAGCTCTCCTTTGAGGGCAGTGGACTCTCCTGAGAAGGAATCAAAATGCAATTTCAGCAGCAGCAGCCACCTCCACTTCAGAGGAACCAGTGTCCTGTAAGCTCAAAGGGAGCACAGTTGTCTGTGTTGAACCTGTTCCATTTTCTTTAATGACTGTACCTCATGGGTGTATTTACCTGTCACTGAGACACTAGCTCATAACCTGCAGCACTGATCTCTGGTTAAATTACTGTGTGATCCCAGTCACCAGTTCAGTAGTCACTCTTTTTTTGGCTTCACCCAGAGCTCAGAAGCCTCAAAGCAAAAACAGCCATGGGAAGAACCTCCTCAGCACTGTCAGTGACCGCGAGGCTGCTGCGAAGGGACAAAGCTCTCCAGGCAGCACGGCCTGTAAGGCTTCTGACCCACACATCCGTGGACACAG